GATGTTAATGAACAAAGAAGAGTTTAAATGAATCTCTTTTAATTGTTGCCAAAAAAAAAAAAAAATTTTTTTTAAGTTATCTTCTTATCAAAAATCATACAATGTCCTTTCACTTTACATCTCTCTCTCTCTTCCTTTCTCCTTCTCTCTCTCTCTTTCCGTCTTAACATATCTTAAATTAGGTTTTTCAAACTCCCATCAACAAATAATAATAATAATAATAATAGTATAAAAATCATTTAAGACGCGTTAAAATAACAAACAAAATTTTTTTTAAAAATTTTTTTCCATTTTTTTTTTAAATGGAGTAAAAGTGAACGAGCGCAAAAAACAAATGAAAAGAAACTAAATTGATAACCGCAAAAGATCAAATAATTCGAAAGTAAAAAGAAATCAAAAACAATTAATTTAAAAAAAAAAAAAATGACGAATTTAAAACCGCAATTTAAAAAAAAAATCGATCGAGTCGTTGGAAAATCATTTGAAAAATCGATTTTTCAAAAAAGAAAATTTCATAGAGTAAATAAAAAAAAAAAAACTACTTTCTAACGTCGTACAAAAATAATAATAACAAGACTAAAGTTTTAATTTGTGTTTTTTTTTGCGTTTGCTCTAGTTAGATTTCTAACGAAAAAATTTAATTTATAAATTTATTTCCGTCGATTAAATAAAAAAAAAAAAAAAAAAAAAAAAGATTTTTTTTTTACCCGGTGGGCGTCCTTAACCTTTGAACCTTTGTCCATTTTAAAATAAATGATCCTCGTTTTTTTTTTTTTTTTTATTACCGCGGAGAAATCAGCAAGAAAAAACCGGACCGGAAATGACGTCGTTTATGTTTTTATAAAAAAAAAATTGATGACATTTAACCGACTCGAAATCGACGACCCCCCCCCCCCGGTCCCTTCGTTTTAAGTTTTGTCGTTAATGTCGTGACGTTAAAAATGCGCGACATTAAAAAGAAAAATTAATTTTGCTTTTTTCGTTTGCTATAGTTTACTTTCTTTCTATCATCATTAATTATATAAAAAAAAGAGTGAAATTTTTTTTTTGAAAAATAAATAAATAATATCAATTCGTTTTATTATTATTATCATTATTATTATTATTATTAACGTCCATTCGTTTTTTTCATTCGATTCCATTTTTTTTACTTTCGAATTAGAAAAAAAAAAAAATGGCCGACGTGGGCCGATATTGTGTGTGTGTATGTGTGACGTCATTCCCCGTTGAACTCGAAATGTAAAAAAATATTAACAATTGTAAAAAAAAAAAAAAAAAAACGTGTAAGGAGTTAAAATTTTAAAAAACGTTTTATTTTATCCGTTAAAAAAAGAAAAATCGTGACTATTTACACGTAAAAAATGATTTTTCATTTTTATTTTCATTTTTAATTTCCCTTAATGCGTTGTCTATAAATAAAAAAAAAATTTTTTTTTTAACGTAACGTAAAAAAATTTTCATTTCCGTATCGTGGCCCAAGATAATTTTTGGACGCTTTCGTTTAATTATTTTGATATAAATAAAAAAGCAAAAACAAAGAAATACCGCGAATTAATTAAAATAATTAATTTATTTTAACTAAAAAAAAAAATAAAAAAAATTATTTGGCATGAATTATTATTATTATTTTAAATCAAAATTTAAATTTTGCAAAGGTCAACAAAGTTCAAATACTTTTTTTTTTTTTTTTAATAAAATGAATTCGTTTAATCGAATCCTCCCTCTCTCTCTCTCTCCCCCTCCCTCCCTCCGTCTTTGCCTGAAGTACAAGTTTTTAACGGAATTTTAAAATTGTGTTCAGAACGTGAAAATATTTTTTTTTTTTTTTTTTTTTTTTATTCCAAAATAGGAAAAATTGATTTGATTGATTGGTTATCGATCGATTGAAATAATTTTTTTTTTTTTTGGTAGATTTAAACGTGCTTTAGCATATTTTTTTAAAAGGATTCATAAATCGTTTTTCGACTTTTGAGTTCGTTCGTTCGTGCGAGTTAAATGAAAAATTATAACAAAAATGTTTTCTTAACTGTGACGTCATAACCACACCCTTAAATTTAATTAGGGCGGAAACCCTTTGGGAAGTCCATAATTCATAAAATAATTTTCGTAATTTCGTGTCGTTAAAAAAAAAAAAAAAGGATGAGACGTTTCAAACATACGTAAAATTCACCCCTTTAAATTTTTAATAATAATAATAATACTACTACCACTACTATTAATAATAATAATAATAATATCCGGAAAAATTCGCTTCATCTCATTAAGATCACGAAAATACCGCAAAAAAATTAAAAAATTACAATAAACATTTTTTTTTTTTTTTTTTACGAGAGCAAAACGCAAAACGCAAAACGTCGAACAAACGCAAAATTACTTAATGTATTTGTTTTAATTACGTCATCATTACAAACATATATGACCACCGATGTTAATTAAAGAAAAAACTCACGATTTCATAGAGTAAAAAAACAATTTTTTGTGTCAATTCGTTTTTAATTCATAAAATCATCGTTATTTTTTTTTTCGTCGCATTTTATTTATTTATTAATTAACTATTTTTAAATAAAGTAATTAATTAATTAATTAATTAAAAATGCATTTTAAATTAATAATAATTTATGTATGCGATGTCATCACGTATACGAGGATATTCATTTCCTTTATTAATCCAAATATGTTAATCTCATATGATATATGAGTTTTTATATAAACGTGATTCGAATTCATTTATTATTATCATTATCATTATTATTATTATTATTATTATTATTATTATTATTATTATTATTATTATTATTATTACCATCATTATTATTAAAACCATCGTTGTCGTCGTCGTTTTTAATATTATTATTATTATTACGATTGCGTTTTTTTTGGAATTCGAGTCGGCTTAAAAAAAAAAAAGAAATTTTTTACCATTTTTGTACGAAAACGGAATTTTTTCTTTTTTGTTTGTTTGTTTGTTTGTTTGTTCAAACAACAAACAAACGCGGTGTCAAATTAATTTAAATTAATCGTATTTAACCGATTAAGGTCCTTATCACAGAAGAAAGATTACGGTCATCATTATCAATTACTATTCCTTTTACGGCACAATGGAATAATTTCAAAATGAAATTTTTTATCCAAAGGAATAATAATAATAATGTTTGTCTTATTTCACGATCGCGTTATTGACACGTTTTTTTAAAAAAGTCTCGGCTATTAAATTTTACCTTTTTCTGTTTGTTTTGCAATTTTTCTATAAATGGTATTTATTTAAAAAAACCTTTTAAGACTAAAACATTTCTTAATCGTATGCAAAAAAAAAAAAAATTTATCGAGTTATCGGTTCGGTAAGCAATTAGGAAAATTTTGTTTGTTTGTTTGTTTGTTGTTTATCATCGCACACTTGTTGTTGTAGTGTTGTTTGACGAAAAAAAAAAAACAAACAAACTCGTGAAAAATAAATTCAATTGCAATATTTTTCCTATTTTTTGGTTTTGTTCTAAACTTAATTCGAATAAAAACGTTTGGTGAAAGGGATGTGACGTCACGAAAAGCGCGCGTTTTTTTTTTTAAAAATTAAATAACAATTAAAACGTTAATTGTTAAACAATTAAACGTGCGTTACGTTTCAAAGAAAAATTATTCGCCATTTAAAAAATTTTCCGACCATTTTTTTTTTTTACGAATGCCGTAATAATTGTTGGTATATTTACAATAATAACTCTCGGCGATGTGTAATAATAATGATAATGATAATAATAATAATAATAATAATAATAATAATAATAATAATGTTTTCATCACGCTAAAAATTCATAACCGACGATAATTTGTAATTATTTCGAAGGAAGCGCGTTGGTTGGTTGTAATTACGACCGTATGTAACTCATGTAATTTTCATTTGAGAGAGAGAGAGAGAGAGAGAGAGCAAAAAGAGAGAGAGAGAGAGAGCAAAAAGAGAGAGAGAGAGAAAGAAAATTAATTCACGAGAAAATTGACACGCAAAAACTAAAATTATATATATTTATAAATTTGCAACTCGTTTGTACGCGGTCGACAAAATCTGCGTAACTAATTCACGTAGGAAAAATTAATTTTTTTTTTTATTAATACCGAACAATCGAACAACCATACAAACAACAATTTAAATCATCATTCTTAAATTCATTTTTTTTTCGATTCTTCTAACGACAAACAAATCTTGTTACTACAGTTTTACAGTTTATTATTATTTCTCATCGTAAGTCTCACGACAGAATTTTTTTTTCGGATCGTTTGTTTTCTCGTTTGTTTGTTTGTTTGTACGAATTAAAAGTATTAATTATTTTACTCTTTCTTGTGTATTTCGCAGTAAGCGCAGTAGTCATCACCTTAATTTTTTTTTTTTTTTTTTTTTTAAAGAATCCAATGTAATTTTTATTATTGTAATTATTATAAATTTAACAACTTTTTATATAAAACAAGTCAATTTGCCCGTAGGAAATTTTAATAACATCTGTCATTATATACGTATGCGTGGGCGTAAAACCAAATCGGCAGCCAAGAAATCCAAAAAAAAAAAAAAAAAAAAAGTTATAACGTAAAAATTGTGCAATTAAAATAATTATTCATAAAACGATCACAACAACAACAACCCATGTACATATAATTTTTTTTTTACACAAATAAATCGTCATTACTTCCTGTTGTATCCTCTCTCTCTCTCTCTCTCTCTCTTTATTCATCCCATTGAACGTAGTATTAGAATTAAATTTTCGTTTGTGATCCTTAAATAATTACAAACGCATACATAACGTTATTTAATAATCACCACGTGTATTATTATTATTTTTTCATTTCCGGTCATTTTATTCTTTTGTTTTAACCAATTTTTGATTGTTTAAAAAAAAAAAAAAAAAAAAAAAATGATTCATTTATGGAATTTTAATAATTGAATATTAAATTTTGAATTTTTTTCTTTTTTTTTTTCATTTCCATTCACTTCCACGTGAAGAATAATATAAGAGAAAATGCCGAAAAGAAGCATAAAAGAACAATTGGGTATAAACGAATTACTCGACAAAAAAGGTGGAATATGGAAAGCTTTACTCGCTGAATTTTTAGGTACATTTCTTCTTAACTTTTTCGGTTGCGCAAGTTGTTTGCACATAACAAATCCGGATGATGTAACGGATTTAGTTAGAATATCATTAACGTTTGGTCTCGTCATATTTGGAGCAGTTCAGGTACGTTTCCTTTTCTTTTCCTTTTTTCCTCTTAAAATTTATCCCAAAGGATAATTTATTATAATTTTTTTTTTTTAATAATTTTTCCAGGCTTTTTGTCACGTGAGTGGTGCTCATCTTAATCCGGCCGTTACGATTGCCGTACTCGTAACGGGTAAAATTCCTATTATAAAATCATTATTTTATGTAATAGTTCAATGCCTTGGATCCGTTGCAGGTTCAGCTGTATTAAAGGTAAAACCGGATTTTTCTTTTTTTTCCACCTTTTTATTTCCAGTTTAATCCTCCATTTTCTTTTTCTTTTTAATCTCCGTGTGATGATATCATTTAAATTACGTAATAATTTTAATTTTTTTTTTATTCGCGGGATAAATCATTGTATATAATAAAAAAATAGTTTACACGTAAAAGATAGGAAAAATTATTATGACGTAATAGATACCAGTTACCAATTTCGTACGATAATAATAATAACAATAATAATAATATTGATTTTAGAAAGTTTTTCTTTTTTTTTCTGATTCTTCTTAATTTTAAAATAATTTTTTTTTTTTTTGGAATTTGATTAATTTAATTTTAAAATCGAATTTAAAAAAAAAAAAAATTTCACTTTTTGATTTAACCGAATGAATGAATGAATGAATGGGAAAATTTAAAAAAAAATTTTGTGAAATTTTAGGCTCTTACACCGGATGATCCTACAGTACAGGGAACGTTAGGATTAACGGCTGTTAATCCAAAATTAAGTCCTGTTCAAGGTTTCGGAGTTGAATTTTTTCTAGGTTTTGTTTTGGTCATGGTTGTTTTCGGAGTTTGCGATTCTAATAGAAAATCTGTCGATATACCTGCACCCCTTGCAATCGGTTTAACGGTCGGAATGGGTCATTTGGCAACGGTAAGTTAACGAAAAATATTTTTCAAAACCAATCAATCAATCGTGTTTATATCGATCGATATTTAATTAATTTTTTTTTTGTTTTTGCAAGATCGAACTCACTGGATCCAGCATGAATCCTGCCAGAACATTCGGATCGGCTGTTATTGCAAACATTTGGACTAATCATTGGGTGCGTGCCATGACATAATGTTTCCAATTTTAAATTATTATTATCATTATTCATAACATTATTTTAATATTTTCCTTTAGATAAATGTCACAGATGTAAAATTATTTACATGTGAAACAAAAAAAAAAAAAATTGCGTGGTAGGCGCTCGTGACGTCATTTTTTTTTTTTATTCTTTGTCCTTTTTTTTGTCATTGTCACAATTCAATTCTTTTCCTTTTTGCTTTGTTAAGTGTACTACATCTCTCTCTCACACACACACACACACACACTCAAAATGACGTAGAAATGAGTTTTTCTCAAGTTTACAACACGGTTAAAAAAAATTTTTTAAATAATGTCCGACCCGTTATAAAATTTCCCATTACGTCAACGAATAAAAAAAAAATTAATTTTAAAACTCACCGTTTGAAAAATAAGAAGAAAATGGAAGAAAATTTTCAACCGATGTTTTCCTTTTTTCCAGGTTTACTGGTTGGGACCCATATTAGGTGGTATAGCAGCTGCATTGATATACCATCACACATTTTCAGCTCCGCCATTAGATGAAGTAACAGAATATAGTCCGGTACGAGCTGAAGAAAAAGAAGTGAGTTATTAAATAATGTTCGTAATTAAAAATTTTTTTTTTTTTATTTACAATAAAAGAAAAAGAAAATACTCATAACGTGAAAATATTACGATGGAAAAATTAATTAATTAATTAAAAAAAAAAAAAAAAAAAAAAAAAAAAAGTAAAAACGTGTTCATTAGAATTTAATAGTAAAATTAAAATTTTTTAAATTTCAGTTAAAACGTATGGAAAATAAAACCAAGGATGGTATTCCATAATAATAATAATAATAATAAAATTTTTACGCATAAGAAAAATTATAAATGGGGGAAATATATTTAAAAAAAAAAAAAAATTTTTTTTTTGTTGCGTTAAACCAAACAACACGCTCGTTTTTTTTTTTTTTTTAAATTATTTTTTAACCTAAAAATATAAAAGAAAAAAAAAGATCGTTAGGTTCGTTCATCAATTCTCATGTTGATAAAGATAAATAAATTTAATATGATAGAATAATAATACTTACACATACATAATCACTTCGTAGTTTTATTATTATTATAATCTTTAAATATTGTAAATAATGATAACAGTGATAAGTTATTTAAATAGTAAAATGGGTTTCCACGGATGGTTTTACGATTAATTAACATCAAAATGACGAATTTTATTATTTTATTATTTTATTTTATATTTAATTAATATTTTTTTGTTTCGATGTTTACTTTTTTTTTTTATTATCATAAAACGATTTTAAATGAATAAAAATTTTTAATGTTTCGCTCGTTAATTTTAATGTTTAATGTTAAGTTTTAGGTTTTTAAAACAAAAACAACAAAAAAATTTATATTTTATTTGTATTATTATTAATTTATTTTTCATACGCGAGAAAATAATGTTTTTGTTTTTTATGATTATAAATTTTGTTACGATTACGATCATTTAAATTGATCAAATTTAATAATTTTAAATAAATAAATAAATATCTAAAATAATTAAAATAAATAAAAAATAAAAAACTCAAAACCGAAATGTCATTATTGTGTTATTTTAACAAAACAAAAATCACTCCCTGTAAAATTACGAGTATGCAATTTGTCATACGTGTAAATACATAAAGTTTGCATAGAGTAATTTTTGCAGGCGTTTTTTAAAAAATAAAAAATGTTTTTAAATTGAAATTTCCGTTAAAAATTTTCCATTTAAAATTTCTATTTAAAAAAAAAAAATTCTTATTTAAATCGCGATATGAATTTTACATTATCAATTTTCGCGATGGTAAATTTAAAGTCGTTACGATCAAAAACGTTTTGCCAAGTTTTTTTTTTATTAAAATCGATAAAAATTAATCAAAAATGTAATAAATAACCCGAATTTAAAAAAAAAAAAAAACGAAATTTCACCAGATTTATTTATATATTTTTTTTATTAGCTTTCTCTAAATTATCATTATTATATATACATATATAATGTGGCCAATTATCGATAACGTTTTGTTTTTTTTTTTTTTTTAAATAAATCTAGTTGTTAAAATTTCTTTCCTTTTGTTGTGGTTAAAAAAAAAAAACATAAATAAATTTTTTTTACGAGGAAATCAATTCGTTTAACACAAACGTCTATGGTTTTTCCAAGCAAAAAAAATTTAATTTCCGGTTATTTGTCAAAAGTGATGATATTATTATTATTATTTTCGTTTTTTTATTTTTATTTTTTGTTTAATGTAAACACGTCATATGATGATTTATTTTATAAATCGTAAATTAATTTAATAATGAACGTTATATCCAGGTGGTACGGCGGAAATAAAAATATAACGAAAAAAGAAACGTCGACGGTTACGATTGACGAATTGTGCGGAATATTCAATTGCGAATTAAATTTCGATAAAAAAAATAAAAAAATTAAAAAAAAAATCAAAGATAATAATTTAATTATAAACGGACAAGAAGTGAAAAATAACGTCGTCGACGTCGTGTCCGATAAAAACGTACAAAGACTACGTAAAACGATTAATTTCCTATTGATATTCCTCTGGTTGTTTTCCGTTTGTTGCGTGACTATTTACACGATACAATTACTACAAAATTTTAATACCGTTCATTATAAGGAAATATCACTCGGTATAATATTTATATTATCAATCGTGACCGTTGGTATAATATCAATTTATCAAATTTTCACGTGTTGAACTCGCCCCTCCCACTCGCGCTTTCGCCCCTCCCCTTCCCACCCCTTAATATTATTACGAAGCGAAACGAGTTAAACATGGTTTTCCCACGTGGAAAATTAAAAAAAAATTTTATTTTACCTTATTTTGTTAATACTAATAATCCTCCTTTTCACGATTCGATCCATCGATGATTTTATCAGGTGATTGTTTGTTCGTTTGTTTGTTTGAAGAATTCGCCAGACGACTCGAAATAAAAATCTTCCATAATAATAATAAAACGTTCCAGCAACGACATGGAAAAAAATAAACATTACAATTCTTTTAAATTTTTGAAAGTTTTTACAAACAAAATAATAATAATAAAAAAAAAAATTTTTTTTTGGTTGTTGTTGTTATTTAAAATCCCGACAACTTTTTTTTTTAAAAGAAATTATGTAACTTTGATTAAGTAACGAAAGAAATTTATCGTATTATCATTATTATTTCAAACAAACAAACGAAAAAAAAAAAAAAAACTAGTAACAAAAACTTTCACTTTGTGTTTAAAAAAAAAAAAAAATTTTTTTTAATAATAATAATAATAATAATAGTATGATTTCAACGCGTTATTCGTTTCGTGACGACAATCATCATCATCATTATTATTTAAAATAATAAATAAAATCAAAAATAATAATAATAATAAAAGATTAATTATTATTTCGACCGATATATATATATATATATATATATATAAATTTTAGCGTAATATTTTTCGTTTAAAAACAAAATGGCGGCGACGACGACGACGAGGACGTTAATTAAATTCGGATAATAATAAATCGTAAGTCACGATGATAAATTTACAAAGAAAAAACAAAAGAGAAAAAAAAAAACTTTCATCATTTTACAAACATCAAAAAATAATGATAATAATAAATGACGACAACAACAACAACCAAGAACAACCAAGAACAATCTTTGTTATATGAAAAATTAATTAATTAAATAAAAGAATGGACGGTAATAGAACGTTATGGAAAAACCTGGAAGTCAAATTTTTTTTTTGACAATAAATAATTTATTTCGAAAGGTAATCGATAAATCGATATAAATCGATATAAAATCGATTTAAAATCGATTAGTTTTCGATTCTGGTAATAATGATTTTTTAATAAGTTTGTTACAAACAGGATAATAATAAGAGGAAAATCAATGAAATAATTAATAACAATAGGAAAAAATTAATTGGATCGAACGTAATGTTATAACAATGGTTAAAGAAAAAAAAAAACAGGGTCGGAATAAGGAAAAGTTAAAAAAATACTAGTCATTTACCAAGGTCATGGAGTCCCGTATTCGTTCCAGCGAATCACTTTCCAAACATGACTTCAACCGTGAACATCTCAATAGTTTTTTTTATTATTTTATTCGTCGGTAAGTTTTTTTTCTTTTTTTTTTTTTTCATTTTCTTTCTCTCTCTCTCTCTCTCTCACTTTTTTTTTCATTTTTTTTCTCTTTTTTTTTTTTTTTTTTTCTTTTTTCTTTTAATCCAAAAATTTTTTCCATATGTTCTAGTGTTAAAAACACAAACTTTCTTCTTTTCGTAATTTTATCATTTTCAAGTTGTTTAATTTTTTTTCTGGCGTTGTCGTTTGTTTGTCGTTTGTTGAAATCTTTGTTTTACTGTAAAGAACAAATAACAACAAATTCTTGTTTTAAAACAATTTTTTTTTTTTTTTTTAAAACTTTTTTGACCTCTTATAATTTTATAATATGCCATTAAATGCTGACATTTTAATTATTTCTCAATGTGTTAAACATTTTAAATGTTTTTATTTTAAATTATTATAAATTTATAGTAATAATAATAATTTCCCAAGTTAGGTTATGTAATTACTGTAATAATAATAATAATAAAAGGTTAAGCTATTAATAATAATTTTTCCCCCATTTTTTTTTTTTTTTTAATTGTGAAATTCCTTTTCTAACGTTTCAAAATGGACGCTTTGAAATTTTAGTACGATTAAGTCGATTCGTAGAATATTATGGAGAGAAAAAAAAAGAAAGAAACTGTCACGGTAAATGTATAACCTTGTAATAAGTACATAAATTATCGTATCAGGGATTTTTTTTGTCTCATTGACACTTGGGTACCTATTAATTAAAGTGAATTGCCAATAAGGACCATTTTCGACTTCCGGGAATTTTCACGCTTGGTAGAATGACACAAACACACGTCATTTAACAAAAACGTATATTTTCATTTAAGGTATAATACATGGACAAACCTCATTGAGATCAAATAAACGACAGCAGCAAAGCAGAACAACATCGACGACATCGAGTCCTGTGATTAACGGTGATGACGATGATGATCCCGCATTAACCGACGAATGTCCCGAACCGAATGGATATTTTGCTGATGCTTATCAATGTGATAAATATTACGAATGCAGAGATGGAGCCATTACGGAAAAACTATGTCCCGACGGTATGGTTTTCAACGATTTCAGTCCTCAACATGAAAAATGCGATCTTCCATTTGGTATCGATTGTTCTCAAAGACCGGAACTTCGTAAGTACAACCGATCGATATTTCTTCGTGTCGTAAAATTCAGATGATTGATCAATTTTTCACTTTTGAATAGAAAAACCACAGCCGACTCTACACTGTCCGAGATTGAATGGTTATTTCGCACACGAGGATGCTGGTACCTGCGATAAATTTTATTATTGCGTAGATGGAAAATTTAATATGATAACGTGTCCGGGTGGTTTGGTATACAATGAAAAAACAGGAATATGTAGTTGGCCGGATGAAGCTAAAAAAAAAGGATGTTCATCCCAAGGTATAATATATGTATAATTTTATGTAATAAAAGAGGTTTGTAAAACAGGTTTAAATAGAAAAAAAAAGTTTTTCGTTAAGAATATGTCAAGGTAAAAGGAAACGAAAACAAAAAATGTTGTTTCGAATTTTGCGGTTTTGACAAAAATTCCAAAACTTTTCGAAAGAGAGAGAGAGAAAAAAAAATTAATTTTTTCCTTTCAGATGTTTTTCAATTTACTTGTCCGAAAGTTAACGAAAGCGAAGCTAAAACTCATCCACGTTATGCAGATCCAGAAGATTGTCAATTTTTTTACGTTTGCATAAATGGTGAAGTTCCGAGAAGAAACGGATGTAAAAGAGGACAAGTTTTTAACGAAGAAAAAAGAGTTTGCGATTGGCCGAGAAACGTGCCTGAATGGTAAATAATTTTCTTTCCCCCAATTAACCTCAATAAGAACGTTCGATGTTAATAAAATTGATACCTTTCAGCAAAGACTGGTACAAGGGCATTATAACAGACGAAGAATTAGAAGCTCTTGAACATCCAAAACCAAAGCCTAGACCGAGTGAGGAAACTATAAGAAAACGAAACGGTAATAAAAAAAGACCCAAACAAATAAAACCCGTAGTACAAGAAGATGAAGAAGAAAAATAATAATAATAATAATAATAATAATAATAATAAAATAAATTTGTTTTCTTTGGAAAATTTTCAAATCAAACGATTTCCTGTTACGTTTAAGTTATTACAATTACATAAAGTTTGTGTTTGTTCTCAATCGAACAGAACAAAATGCTACAATCGATCATCAAATATCGATTAATTATAACTTAACGTTACAAACAATAAATGATTTCCAACAAAACAAAACAAAAACTTTCAGTTATGGGTTCTAACAAAACCATTTAAGACGTTTATGTTATTTTATTAGTGTTAAACTACTCTACTGTGATATTGTTTATCTCAGTTTTAATCAATAAAATTATTTTATTTATATAAAAAATTTACTTCGATTAACTTTTATGATAACCTCCTACAATCCTTATAAAAACTTTTATAATCTCCGCCCCCTTTCCTCAATCATAACAAAAAGAGGTCATTCGATACAAACACAAAAGAATTTTCCAAAAGGATTAGATAAAGATTCAAATCATCTTTTTATAAAAATTTTTACAACTAGGTGGGAGTGGTTGTGGGGGGGGGGAAAACAATAAAAGAGGGGTTACACCATATTTAAAAAAGAAGAAAGAAGAGGTAATATTTTAGGTACGAATAACATTTTAGTGTCAAATCACGTACCACCCGGACGACTATCATAAATATCAATTAAATTACGACACAGAACTAAAATTATTTATAAACTTAAAAAAATTAATACGCGGAAGATTTAAAAAAAAAAAAAAAAATTAAAATAAAATAAAATAAATACCACGTGACAAGTTTTTTTTTTTTTTTTTTTTTAGGCTGGCTGTCTTGGTATTAAGAGGTGTTAAAACAACCGGATACGGACGATTCCCCCGTCTGCTTGTTCAGTTTTATTATTGACTTTCGTTGGTGCACTTCGTAGTCTCATCACTATGAACCTGTCATTTATCGTACCTTTGATTGCTTTTTTCTGGCTGGCAGGTAAGTTTGTCGTTGTTGTTGTTTTCATTAGAATATTAAATACTTTCCAAAGATTGATTATTATTCCAAAGTGTGATTAAATTGAAAATCTAAAAAAAAAAAAACGGAAAAAATTTTTGTTAATTTTGGTCATCCGTACCTAAAATAATTTTTTTTTTTTTTTTTTTTTTTAATTTCTTTCCTTTTTGTTTTGTTTTTGTTTATAATTTTTAATTATACGCGTGTATTTTTATTCGTTATTACGCGTTTAACATTTGACTTTTTTTTTTTTTTACATTTTTCACAGAAACCATATTTATTTTTATTTTTTTTCGTTATCTATATTATATTTAACAATTTGTTAACGATGTACATACATTACATAACCGTAATACTAACCTTGTTTTTTATTAACCTGTTATAACTCTTATGTGAGCTAACAAAATTTAATTTTGGTTAATAAAAATTTTTTTTTTTTTCCCCATACAATAAAACATCATAAAAATGCTCGAAACATTTTTTTTTTTTTTTTAAATACTTCATTAAAAACAATACGATTTAAAATGAAATCAACAAACAAAATGTGAAAGTTGTTGATAAAGAAAGCAGGGCTACGATTAGATCCTCTGCTCTTAGTACAAACATTTCTTTATCTCAATCTTTACTTTGCTTTTAAATTAATAATAATAATAATAATAATATCAACCACTTAACCAGAGAGGTATAATTAAGTGAAAAAATTCAAAAAATCAATTTAAAAAAAAAATTTCTTCAACGTAAATTATCATCGAGACAAATACGTCATTTTTTCAAAAAAAAAAAAATCTACTTTTTCACTCTTACAGGCACGTCATTAATATTATTATTATTATTATTTATGTCACGGTTTTTAAAAATGATTTAAATATTTATACGTATATATCTCTCTCCTTCACATCGTAATAAATTAAAATTAAATTAAAGTCAAAGACTTTCCTTTGATTTTTTTTTTTTTTTTTTAGACGCTGCATTTAAATGTCCTCAACATGACGGTTTGTACGAGGATCCAGTTCAATGTGATAAATATTATGAATGCGTTGATGGTGAAGCAGTAGAAAAATTATGTCCTGACGGTTTGGTTTTCGATCCGACCATAAGGAAGGTTAATAAATGCGATCAACCTTTTAGCGTAGATTGCGGAGATAGATTGGAACTTCGTAAGTACGACTTTTGGTAACTGAAATGAATGATTTAATTATATTAAGCAATGATAGATGGATTTTTTTATAATAATTTACACTCTAAATTGTATCGACTTTCACACCTGACGGCAATATTTGCGGTTAACCACCTGAAAATTAAAGTTGCTAAAGAAAAATCACATGATGAATGAATAGTTGAGAAAATAAGAAGAAAAAAAAATTTTTTTTTTTTTTTTGCTGCAATTTGAAGTAGTAGTAGTAGTAATAATAATAGTAAAAATGGCGTCGATTTGATGGGCGTTAATTTTGGTTTGGTGTTATAAAATAAAAAAAAAACATCAACCCATTTAATTGATATAAAAAAAAAAAAGAGTGACTTTAAAATGTCGCAATTAAATGACGTAAAATTATTAATGATATCGTAAATTACAGAACCGCCCAAATCGAACCATCTTTGTCCAAGAAGAAATGGATATTTTGCTCACCCGGACGAATCCGTTTGCAATATATTTTACAATTGCATCGAAGGAGAAGCAACGGAAATCGTATGTCCTACCGGTCTTCATTTCGACGAATATTCAGGTACCTGCGTGTGGCCAGATGCAGCTGGAAGAACGGGTTGCGGTAATAAAGAAGCGAGTGAGTATCTTTTATTAGCCTTTGACATTTTCCAAACTAAAAAAAAAAAAAAAATTCATAGAAATCAAATATTAAATTCACGGTTCGATTTTTTTTTTTTTAGAATTGAAAGATGGATTCAGTTGCCCTAAGGAAATTCAAACGGATTCCCGAGGTCAAGCAGTTGCTCATCCAATGTATGCTCACCCTGAAGACTGTCAGAAATTTTACGTTTGTTTGAACGGTGTTACACCCAGAGAACAAGGTTGTTCGTTAGGTCAAGTTTATAATGAAGAAACTGGAAAATGTGACGAACCAGAAAATGTTCCGGGATGGTGAGTATTTATAAATTTTCTTGACCTTTCCTTTTTTTTTTTTTTTGAAACGTCGTCCTGCTAAAATAATAATAATAATAATAACGGTTAAAAAAAAAGTTGTTGTTGTTGTTGTTTCAATTTCACAGCGAGGATTGGTACAAAGATGATCCCGATGTTCAAAGAGCTAAACAAGATGAAAAATTAAGAGAAGCTGCGGCGAGCAACAGAGCTAAATACCGACAAAAATAAATCGCGGATAATTAAGAGGTTTTTTTGTTTTTTGTCGTAATAATTTATAAATCGTTACTAACGCTTCCATCACACTCTCTCTCTCTCTCTCTCTCTCTCTATCGAACTTGGTGTTTGTTTGCGTGTGTGTAAAATTACGTTAACAATAAATTTCATAAGATTTCGTATTATCTGCTATGCAAAAATCAAATAACGAAACATCAATAAAAAAAAAAACATTGAATTTTCCGCAACAACACTTTAATAATAATAATAATAATAATAATAATTTTTCGATTGGTTTGACCTTTTGCGGGCTAACAACACATAACAGTTTTTTTTCCAACTTATTTTCATCATCATTCACTTTTTCTCGGTATTGTTTGTTTGTTTGTTTGTTTTCTAACAGAAAGATCATTTGCGGTTTCAACAAGGACGACAAAACTAATTTTTTCTATCGCGTTTTCTTTCTCTTTCTTATATGAATTTTGAAATTTTAAAACTTTAAATAATAATAATAATAATAAAGTAATTTTTTTTTTTTTTGTTTTCGCAGTCGAAACTACTACAAAGACCACCCAAAGTTCAAAGAACTGTACACCGATGAAGATGGAGATGGAAAAATAGATTATGGAAAAAAAAGAGTGTTTAATGAATAAATTTAAATATTAATAACAAACAACAAACAAACAAACAAACAACAATAGTTTTTTCGTTAGTTTGTATCGTGAATAAATAAATTTAAAAAGCGGACTTTAAAATATTAAATAAATAAATAAATAAATAAATTCGTTACACGCGTGTCACGGGTGTGCTCCCCTCTCTCCCCCTTTAAAAAAAAAAAAAAAAAAATATTTCGAATCGTATTTTCGGCCATTATTTTTTAACCGCGTTAATTTCATCATTTGTTAATAAATAATAATAATAATAATAATAATAATAATAATAATAAAAATTACGTAAAAATTCTAAAAGAAAAGGCTGATTTTAAATTACTGTTATTATTATTATTATTATTTTTTATAACGAATTAAAAAAAAAATAAAAACACCCGATCGGAAATTAAATATTATTATTATTAATATTATTATTTTTAATAAATAAATTTTATATTTTTAAAATTAATTATTAATTAAATTTTTTTAATAACCTAAATTCATAAAAAAAAATTTCCTACTCATCAAACAATTTAAACAATAAAAAAAAATATTGTCTTGTAATTACGTGAATTAATTAAACTTTTATTTATCTATTAATTATTATCATTATTATTATTAATTAACTTTCGAGGATTAATAATTAAAAATTTTCCTATCTCATTTCTCCCCCCCTCCCCCCCAAAATAATATTTTAAAAAAAATAAATTTATTGAAGTTAACTGTAAATGCGTCATCGGTGACGACTTATGTAAAATTTAACAAATAAAAAAAAAAAATTAATTGGGGGAGGTGAGGGAGGGGGGTCATAACACTTATTAAATGTCAAATAATATGTAATACGTGTGTGTGTGCGTGTGTAAAATGTCAAAGCGTGAAGAAAGTGTTAAGAAAAAAAAAATATTTGAAGAAACGACAAACAATAATAATTTTTTTTTTTTTTGGAGGGGAAAATTTAAGCTACGTAATACTACTGATGATGATGATAATGATGATGATGATGATGATGATGATGATGATAAAAATGATGATGATGATGATGATGATGACCATCGTCGAATTAACGGGGAAAAAAAAAAAATTTTTTTCTAACATTAAAAGTTATTTAAAGAGAAAGGTTGGACATTCCATTGTTGATTTTTTTTCCAAAGTTTTTAACCTTCACTTTTAAAAATTCAATTACTTATTATTATTATTATTATTATTATTATTGTTATTATTAATTTACTTTTTTTAAATAATAATTAAATATTTAAAGCGAGTTGTAGGTTTGTAACGAAAGGTAAACATTAAATGATAATATTAAAACCGGTAAAAATAAATAAATGTTTTCCAGAAATGCCGAAAAAAATTCTCATGGAAAAAAAATTAAAATTCATCAAATACCTCTTGTTTAAAAAAAAACTAATTTTTTTCTTTTTCTCCAGATGATTAATCATAAGCGGTCGCCATCATTTTTTTTGTTATCATCATCCATTTGAAATTTTTTTAAAAACCAGACAAAAACCTGAAAATAAAAATTAATTAATTAATTATGGAAACGAAATAATATTTTTCCAGAGGATGAAAGATAGCGTTCGTTTTAAATAACATTTAATTTTGTTTTTTCCAGTTACATCCCCTTAACGTTCCAGGTTTTAAGTAATACTTTCCCAAATAAAAGAAACCTTTTTGCGTATTAAACTGGAGATTTCCAAAAAATTAATTTTTACATTTTTTTTTTATATTAATTAAAAAAAAAAAAATTTTAAAAGTGTGAAGGTTGTTGATTTCATATACCTTCTTTTTTTTTTTTCGTGATCATAATGAGACCTGAAGGTATTTCGAAGGCAAACTGGAGAAATTATTATTATTATTTTTTTTTTATGTCAACTAATAAATTAAATTTCATTTTTTAAATCAAGTTTTCCATCTAAGATCATTGTCCTACGAAGATAACGTATTCATTCCTTATCATGGTTAATGAATGCGAAGAAACCTGAACAAATATTACCCCCCTCCCCTCTCCAACCTAAAGTAATAAAAATTATTTAAATTAATAAAACATAAAAAAGAAAATTTATTATTATTATTATTCGGCGGTTTAAAAAAAAAAAAACTGTCGATTCTTTGACATAATATAGATAGCAGCACTGTAACAATTTTAGGTACGACCCTGATTCTGATTACTGTATTGTTGTCTATATTGAACGAAATATAACTTTTACGTGTAGTTGATAGGAAAACACAACGCCAACATGTTATTATTAACCTTAGGTGCAGCATTGCTTATCAATTTGGGTGAGTTATCAATTATTATTATTATTATTATTATTATTATTATTTTCAAATTGTTTTTTTTTTTTTTTTTTTTTAAACTTGTAATTACTAAAATGTGATGATGATGATGACATCAATGAATTAATAATAAATTTTTTTTACATTTTAATTTATACTCACTCTTATATAATTTTTGGGTTAGGTCTCGAGGCGAATTTTTTTTTTTTTAAAAAATTTCATGTTGGTAAAACTGTTTTAAATAAACGTTCGTTCGTGTAACCGTTAGTTAAACTTGAGATGATAATTTTCACGTTAGTAAATAATCCCTGAAATTAAATTTATATTTAATTAATAAAAATTTCAAAAAATTAAATAAAATAAAATAAAAGAAAAGAAAAATTTTTTTATAAAATTTACATGAGTTTTAAGTTTTTCTTTAATTGTTCAACGCATATAAAAAAAAAATCGAAATCGAAAGTTGAAGAAAGTGAAATTGGACACCATGAAAACCACTTTATAATAATTTTCCTTCGAGCATCGGGCGGGTATTGGCTTCAAATATATTTAAAAGACAAAATCATGCCAAGGTCACTAACTTTTTTACCACTGCTACCGTTTTTTACCCTGTCATTTAAAATTTAACAAAAAGTATCACAAAAAAAAAAAAAAACGTTCAATTTTTCCTTTTACCTTTCTTTCCTTTTCTTTCTTTCTTCTATCATAAGTTTCTCTAAACTTTATTTCCATTTAGTCAGTCAAAAATTAAATTATTTTGTAAAAACGAAATCAAATATAAAAAATGACTTTGTTCTTTTTAACATTTTTTCTTTTTTCTTTCTTTCTTTTTCTAATGGTCTACTTTCTTTTTTTTTTTTTTTTTGCTTTTAATTGTGAAATTTCAATGAATAATCAACTCCTAATTATTTAACTAAAAAAAAAAAAAAATTAATTAATTACTTTAAACTTTTCTTTTTATTCTCAAGCCAATTTAAATGAATGATTTACTTCATATTTAATTTATTTTAGTCGGAGGTGAAGAAGTTCTCCAATGTCCAGAACATGGAGTACTAACGTATCCAGATCCAGTATTATGTGATCACTTTTACCTTTGCGTAAATGGAACTTTAACATACGAACAATGTGAAAACGGTTTGTTATTCGATGGTAAAGGTGCCGTTCACAATCACTGTAATTATAATTGGGCTGTACATTGCGGTCATAGAAAAGCCGATTGTGAGTAAAATCAATGACAAAATTTAAATAAATAGTAGATCAAGGATAAATAAAATTTTTTTTTTTTTTTACAGTGACTCCTATAAGCACTCCAGGATGCGAGTATCAATTTGGAATTTATCCCGACGGACCTGAATGCAGCACCAATTTCATTAAATGCGAATACGGTGTACCTCATCTTAAACCATGCGAACCAGGTTTGGCATATGACGAAAAAATACACAAATGTAATTGGCCAGATTTACTATTGGATAAATGTAACCCTGAAGGTTTGTAACCGCAAATATTTTTTTCTTACTGAAATTTATATTTTGAAATAATAATTATTGATTAATAATAATACCGCAAACTTACGCAGCCGTTGTTGGATTTAAATGCCCAACTAAATTCCCTGCTGATTCTGTTGCTGCTAAATTTTGGCCGTATCCGAGATTTGCCGTACCTGGAGATTGCACTAGATTGGTTACTTGTATTAATGGATTTCCAAGACTTATAAATTGCGAAGAAGGAAAATTATATGACGAACACTCCGGTACCTGCGAAGAAGCTGAATTAGTTCCTAAATGGTAGGTTTAATCCTCGTACCTAATCACAAAATTCAAACGAAAATTTTTTTAGTAAAACATAATTTTTTGTTGTTTTTCTTTCCAGTCACGGATTCAAGAAATGATAACCGCGGCAAGAGTAAATTTTTAATTTTTTTTTTTTTTTGTAACAAAAATGTAATTTAAAAAATTTTTTTTTTTTTTTTTTTTTTGTAAAAAAAAAAAAAAAATAAAATAAATAAAAAAAAAAAATTTATTTAATGAATGGCATATTATCTGAAAATAAATGATTATAATAATAATAATAAGAATAATAATAATAATAAAATGCAAAAGTTATTTTTTCTTTTTTCTCCGTATGATAACAAGCAGTTATATATTAATTCTTTTTTCGGTAGAGGATTTCTTGAATTAACAATTTAATAACATAAAAACTTTATAAATATTCTTTAAAAGGCTGTAAGCAAATTTCAAAAAAAAAAAAAATTTATTTAACTTTCAAAAGGTCAAAGTTAATTAAAAAATTGTATATGAATAAGAATATATATATACACGTAATGTCACGAAGTATAAAAAACCAGACAATCGTAAATGATAAAAACAAAAAAAATTGTGTAAGTTTTATAAAGAAGTATTTTCCTTATTTTCATCCTGAAACAAACAAAAAAAAAAAAATTTAAATTAATGATAATAATAATAGTATAAATCCACGTGTATTTTAAAAAAATGGTTAAGAATTAATTTTTCAAATTGATCGCTTACTATGTCGTCACTGTCTGACATATACAATCTTGAAATTTTTTGTGGTTCTCTAGACAAGGAATTGTAAGACGTGTCTCTGACCCTGTTCGAATAACAAAGAATGCTTTTCGGATAATTGAATTCTTTCCTCTGAGGTGTATTACCTGCGTAAAGGTGCGAATTAATAAAAAATTAATTATCGATATAATTTAATTTTAAAATATATAAAATATAAATTAATATTCGAATAAAATCTTACCGGTTCTTTCATCTTTTTTAATGTTTTCCGTAAAGAAAGTTTCGATTTCACCCATCCTTTCGCTAAATTTAGACAGTATGTCATTGGAATAGTCAGTTATTTCCGACGACATTGTTTGTTTGTTCGAAAGATTATTCTCTAGATTATCTCTTGAGAGACTTATAAAATTGTCCGAATGCATATTTGCCCACGTTCCCAAATTCTCATTATCGGCGATGGCTTCCAATGATTTTTTTTCAATATTCTCGGAAAACTCGACAACTTTATCATTTTGACTTTCACAAAGGTGTTTCAATTCGGTCAATTTGCCCTGTGACTCAGTTGACTTTTCTTTTATAAAAGATTCTAATGAGAAAGTCCATTCATTATTTATTTCCATCATTCCGTTAATCACTGGGAAAACCTAAGCCAAAAAAAAAAAAAAAAAAAAAATTTTAACTTAAAACTTAAGTTTTAAGACACTAAACGAAAAGAAATAAATATTTACCACTTCTTCGGTATTTTTTATCAGATTTGCTGTTGATTTTCCAATTTTTTCATTTATCGCTTCTGCTTCTTCTGCTTGACTCGTGATAGCGGTGGTATTTTTTTCCAAACATTCGTTTATTTCACTAAACATATTTTCTTCTTCACATTCCTTGTCCGTTTTTATATTTTTTAACGCTTCTTCGCATTCGCTTTTTCTTTGCAATAATTCTACTTGATCTTGTGCAATTTTTAAAAGCGTGTGACTAAATTCTTCGATCTGCTTGTCAGTATTTGCTTTTTGCTTTTCTAAAAAGTCACATTTTTCCACATAGGCTTTTAATTTTTCTTCGCGGCGTTTTAACTGTTCATTGTATTTTGCAGGCAAATCTAAAACTGTTTTAGTCAGTTCCATTAACCTATCTTGTGCCGACTGTATGTCAAAGCTTTGTTTTTCAAGAATCCTTCTGTTTATTTCAAAAGAATCAAACAACTTGGTCCAATCGGACTTAACTATTTGCGAATATTCCATTAATTTTGAAATTATTTCATGGGCATTTTGATTTTCAGTATCAACGGCAAGTTTTAATTTGTTTAATTGCTCTTCAAAAAAATTATTATTTCCGAATGTCTGAAATTAAATAAAAAATACTAATAATATATTACATACTATTATTTATATTGCACATTTAATTTAGAATGCATTTGAAAGAAAATCAAGTTTTACATTACCTGTTCTTTTAGAATATTAAGGGAGCTTTGTATTTTAGAATTAGATTCCTTCACCATTCTTCCAATATTTTCTTGTAATGTGTTTTGATGACTTAAAATATCAGAAAAATTTTTTCTGTCTTCTTCCATCTGACCTTCAATATTATTAATTTGTTTTTCAAAAAAATCTTCGGTTCGACCCTTCATATCATTTAAATTCCAATAATATTTATTTTTAAACATTTCAGAAGTATTATAATTATGTTCTAATATTCTTCTACTTTTATCCAAACGATCGTGTAATGTTTTCGCATCATTAACTGCTTCATCAGCGGTTTTCAGAAGTGCGTTTGTTTGCTTTCCCAATTCGTGTAACATATCTTCTTTTTCTATGCAAAGTTGCTGTAATAAATTTGAATTTTTATTTCACAAATTCTAAAAATTATACAGAAAAGTTTTAATACAAAAATAAACATACGTTTGCTTCTTCCAGCTTTTGACAAGTAGCAGCAAGTTCACTTTGCGTAGTATACAAATTCATGTTTAAGCTTTTTAAAATTTCCTATAAAAAAACATAAATGAAAACATGTAACTACATAATTGTTAAATAAATTTTTTTTGTGATTCGATTTGCAGTTCACTAACCTCTTGTTTGGCCAATTCATCTTCTCTAACTTTTAATAATTGTAATTTAGAGACCAATTCTCTGTTCAAATTTTCTCTTTCAGCCATTATAGCATTATAATTTTCAGATGCTAAATAAACACCATGTTTTTCTCGAGTAGCAATCAAATCTCGACGTAATCTTTCGATTTCTTCTGTATATTCCTGTAAAAAAATTTGTCGATAATGATTGCAAGTTTTATCAATTTTCGCTATAATTTATGTAACAAATCATTGGTTAGAGTTTGTCAGGATTTAAGAATCTAAAGTTAAAATTTTTTTTACTGTACAATTTTTACCTTTAGCAGAACGCGTTTTGATGTTTTTTGATTTATTTCTGGTTTATTTGTGATATTTCTAGCTCGATGTGCATAATCAAATGTACTTAAAGTTTCTTCTATATTGCAAAGAGCTGGCGAAACAGTTGCAATTATCGATGTTTTTGTTCTGCCTCCCAGTGAGTCTTGTAAAATTCTCGTTAACTTAGACTCTCTTAAAATTGAATTCAAATAAATTTTAGAGGAAATAATTAAAAATTAAAAAGAAAAAAAAAAACAAATTATAATAATACCTGTATGGAATGTGAGGAGTTCTTTCTACCAATGATGTAATAACTCTTCCAAGAGTTAAGAGAGATTGATTGATACTTCCAGCTTCTCTTGCTCTCATTTCAACAGCTCCCGATCTTCCAATATTTTCACTTCCTGCAAGATCTACCAAATTCATTTTACCTGTTTTAATTAAATCTTCTCCCTCAGGTGTGGTAACTTTGATATGAACAGTAATTGTAAAGATTGTGTGAGAACGACTGAAAGTAAAAAAAACAATTAAGTTTTTTTATTAGATGCCACAAGTACAAAATGTAAAAATAGTTTACACACCTGGATTGGGCGTTCATTAATGTTGGAGCTGTTTGTCTTCGTAAATTTCCAGCTTCCAATATTGCATAAACATCATCTTTATTATGCACAGTTCTTTCTTCTAAGCCTGAAACTATGACAGAACCTTTTTTCATAGAATCTTCAAACAACTTCAAATTTTTTCCATCATCATTATCATTTGGAGCCAAAAGATCACAAAGCTCTTCATTATACAATTCAAGAAACGAAACCCTCACTGTGAATTCATCAGCCCTAACTTTAAGTTCATCAAAAAGATGACTGAGTGTTCGAGGAATTACACCACAATTAGGATCCTAAACATAATGATAAAATTATAATAACAAAGCTTAAATGGATAGTTTTGTAAAGTTGTATAAATATGTTATTTTAAAACTGTACCTCTTCCCAACTTCCATTGACATGATCAGATTTATCGCCCACCATGGTAAATGTTTTCCCAGTACCAGTTTGTCCATAAGCAAAAACAGTGCAATTATACCCCTGTAAAACTTCAGAAATAAGAGGACTGACGACAACCTTGTATACATCTATTTGTTTTGAGTCAGGCCCAAAAACTCGATCAAAAGTAAATGTTTTTGTTGTACTTTTGTCTCTGACTGATACTTCTTTAGCATTGTTACATTCCACCACAACCTGTGATCTTAATTCTTGAGAGCTTAAAGGTCTGAAAAATTAATTTGTAGAATGATAATAATAAAAAATGTTAAATTGTATAATCTAAATTACAATGTGATATTAAATTGATTAAAAAATTTTTTTTTTTTTGTAATCTTTCGACCACAACTTGTCTACAAATTCAGTAATGCATTTCGTGTAAAATATTATATACTTAAATGTTATTAGTAAACAAAATTAAAATTAAAATTTATAAAACTCTTTAGGATAAAATATATTAACATAATGATATAAAAACTAAACATGTATATAACATACTATATATTTGAGGCAGTGTTTGAAAACCACACCCTTATTTATTTAAGTGTACAATATAAAAATTTTATAAAACAAAGATCTTAATTATAGTAATTTATACCAAAATCACTATAACATTTTAAAAAATTCAACAAAAAAATTAAACTTGAATACTCTGACATTTTTCAATTATTTAAATATACAATATAGTTCAACTTTAATGTATAATTTATGTATGAGCAATTTCTGTAATTAATCAAAATAAAAATTTACCGATTGTGAATCTCACAATAAGTATTTATACAGTCCTTAATATAATAATAATGCAATATTATATAATTTTTAACACAAATAAAATGAAATTTTTTGATGAGTATTTTGATGTGTTATAGTATTGTATTATACACAATAAGTTTTATGACATACCTCACTCTAGTAAACACTTGAATGTGTTGTTTCTTTTCAATTTTGTTTCTTGCAGCCATTTCATTAGTGCTTTGCCAGTATAAATAGTAAAGTTAAACAAGTGAACAAAAGGAAAAAAAAACCTTACAAACCGCACTGAGAACGCCAATTAGAAAACGCTTTAACCGCCAACTTTTAACGGTTATTTAACAAGTTGCGACAATAATTTCGGTGTATGAAATTGTCGGCAGCAAATGTTAGCCGTTCCCGTTTGCCGCGGTCGTTCAAAACTTTCAAAACTTTTTGTTTTCTTTATGACTTTATTTTAAAAAAAAACGACTTCGTGTTCGTATTTAGAAAAAAATCGTTAAAAGATAATTTAAAAAAAAAAAAAAACGTTTAATACATTACAATTAAAATTAATTTATTTATTTGTTTTATGTTTTAATTTAAAGAATTCATATGTAAAAAGCCTCAAAGTTTTAACTTTGTTAAAATGATTATTGTTAAAATGGTTATTTTTAAAAATAAGTTAATAAAAAACTTAATTTTCAATTTAAACTTTTGAATTTATGTTTTCAAAATGATTTATTCTTCACATCCAAACCAAGGGAAATATAATTGTGAGACAGACATAATCTTTTGCTAAAAATAATATTATTCTTTAGGCTAAAAAAAAAATAACGATTACAATTTTTGAAAGTCAAGGTCGACATTAAATAATTTCTAATTAAATAATTTTAAAAAATTAATGCTAAAAAATTTTTTTTTAAGGTATTCCACGTATAATAAATAATATTTAATATTGTTTTAGATGAATATATACAATTATCCTTGATATGTTCTGATTTATTCTAAGAATTTATAAATTTAATTATTAACTGCCTCCCTTGTGTGATATGAATTCAACGTTGAAGACGACATTACATCATTTCATAAAATCAACAACGACTTGGTTAACAAGAAACTAAAACTGAAAAAAAAGCAAAAAAAAAAAAAATTATTAATGTACAATCGTTGAAAACGTGAGACAAAGAGATCTTGATGACTAACAAACAAATTGAAGGTAAACAACAATATTTATTTTTTTAAATAATTTACGTTAAGAAAAAAGCTGTTTTTAACAAAAAAAAAAAAAAAAATCAACCAACAACTCTATTTTATAATAAACAACCATTTTCAATCTATTTTATGAAAAATTTAAAATAAAAACAAAACAAAATTTTCATGTTTAATTGTAATAACATTTCATTTAATAAATTCATACAATATTAAACAATTTAATTTATTATTATTATTTTTTTTTTTAAAAACAAATTTTAAAATGCTCATCTTCAGGTACATCAATCCCAGATAGCAGCACCATCTTTTTTTTTTATTACAAGACCCTGATCTTTCTTCTTCTTCTTCTTCTCCTTTTTTTTTTTTTTTTAATAATAATAAATTGGGAAAAAAGAAAAAAAAAATAACAAAAGTTGTTGTGTGAGGATTTAGTTTGTGTTTAATCTTAATTATTTAAACATGTTTATTTTAACTGGATTTTTAATAACAATTTTTTTTTACAACGTTTCAGGTATGTTAATAATAATAATAATAATAATTATATTACAACAACATTTTATTTATTTTACCTTCGTGTATATTTTCAAAAGTAAAAAAAATTTTTAAATAAGATTATAAATAAATTTTTTTGTTTTTCCTCCATCCTTGAGTACTTTTTTCTTTTATGGATTTTATAATATTTTGATTGTTTTAAATGAATTTTCACATTTCCTTTGATTGTATAAACTATATGAAAAAAAAAAAGGAAAAACTAAAAGAAAAAAAAGAAAACAAAAGAATTTAAAATTTTTTAATTTAACTGTCAGTTATTATTATTATTATCTAAATAATTTATCATGGCAAGGCCAAAATTGTTTATTGTCAATTCATTTTTTTTTTATGTTAACGTCTGGAAATTTCTTTGTTCTTAAAAATTGTAATAATACAAAACGAAAACTAAGAATGATTATGATGATGATGAAACTATTGTCCAGGCATAATTTTTTCCAACAACAAAAAAATTTGACTTTTATAATAATATTGCTAAATATTTTTTAATTTAATGTTAAATTTCTTAATGAAGAATCCTTTAAACAAGGTAACCCGGACCAATCGAATCCTTTCGTGACCTGACCTCGAAAATTTTTTTTTTTTATTTATTTTCGTAATAATTTTCAGGTCAAAATTTTCAATGTCCCGAATTGGGAGTTTTTACTTATCCAGATCCAGGATTATGCGATCATTTTTATCTTTGCGTTAATGGTACATTAACATACGAACAATGTGAAAATGGTTTGTTATTCGACGGAACCGGAAACGTACACAATCATTGTAATTATAATTGGGCAGTAAATTGTGGAGATCGTAAACCTGATTGTAATTTTTTTTTTTTACTATTACTTCTTCTTCTTCTTCTTTTTTGACCTCGACCCTTTAACATCGTCGAAAATGAAAAAAAAAATTTTTTTTTGATAGACACTCCGATAAGTTCACCCGGTTGCGAATATCAATTTGGAATTTATCCCATCGGACAAGAATGTAATACTAATTTCGTTAAATGTGAATTTGGTGTCCCTCTTCCAGAACCCTGTCTTCCAGGTTTAGTTTACGACGAAAGAATTCACACTTGTAATTGGCCTGATATGTTGTTGGAAAAATGCAATCCGGAGGGTAAAAAATTTTGTTAAATTGTTTTTACCATTATTATTATTATCAATCGTTGATCGCTGTCGTTTTTTAATTTTTAGAAATAATTGGTTTTAAATGTCCGACAAACGTACCAGAAGATTCTGTCGCAGCGAGATATTGGCCGTTTCCAAGATTTCCAGTACCTGGTGATTGTGGTAGATTGATAACATGCGTCAACGGTTATCCTCGTCTTATCACTTGCGGAGATGGTAACGTTTATGATGAAACAACCGGATTATGTTCGAGTCCGGAACACGTACCTCATTGGTAAATACAAACAAAAAAACAAACAAATTTTTTTCCCTATCAAATTCAACTAAAAACTATAAAACTAAAAATTTTCGTATTTTTTTTACAGCAAAGGATTTAAAAAGTGAGAAACATTCAGTACATCATCGCATTGCAGTATTCAAAATACATAAAAATTAAATAATAATAATAATAATAATAATAAATTTTTATTTCAATAATTTATTGTAAATATTTGTATAAAATAGTTTTTTTTTTTTTTTTTGCTCAATACAATTACATGGATTTACGTTTATTCCAAAATAAAACCGGAAATAAAAAATCAATTTTGAAAAAAAAATTTTCTTTTTTTTGATCATCCAATCAAAAAACAAAACGTCACGCACGCATTTAAAATATATTTTTTTAAAATTTTGTTAAAACTTTAAAGGAAGTAAAAAAAAATTATCGATCGTTTGTGACTAGTTTTAAATAAAAAAAAAAATTTTCCGGAAAATTTCGGTTTTTCCCCATTCGATTGGAATAATCGTATCCAAAAAATAAATCTATTCTATAAACATATCATCGGTTATTACACTCTAAATTATTATATAAAAGAATTAAAAAAAAAAGGGGGGGGGGTTAACGTTTCGCTTAAATGTTTCGAAACAATAGGCCGCCATTTAAAAAATTTAATCGTGACTTTGCTGAAAAAAATAGAAAAAGAGAAAAAAGAAATTTTTTTAAAAAACAGTCTCGCGTTTTATCTGGGATCTCTCGGGGGGGGGAGGAGGGGTCGAATAAAATTGACCATAAAAAAAAAAAAAAATTTAGATGGATAAGAGCTCAAACGAATTATCTCTTAACGTCACGCACGATGGAATTAAATAATGTTGTTTGTTAAGAATTTTCTTCTGCTTCTCAGTTCCTGTTCCTCACGGGAAGAGGAATTGCTCCGGCTGGAAGACTCGGTAAATTTAATTCTTCTCTTCCTTGATTTCTACTATTTCCACCAAAGCTTTGCGGTCTTCCTCTTAAATCTTGCGGTGGTAAATTTTCTTCTTCTTCTTCTTCTGGCGGTGGTGGTAACGTTGTGGGCACGTCACAATCTTCCGTTGGTGGTACGACGCATCTCAATGATCTCCTATCGAAAACTAACATGGCGGGACATCTTTGAAGACGTGGATATCCACCTTGGCATTGCCAGTACCTGTTACATGATTTTCCTAATGGTACGTTACCGTTGGCATCGTCGTTGCAAAGAGCTGAACAAACAAACAAACAGAAAATACATCAAGAATTTTCATTTTGTTTCCTTTTCACGTCTCGCTCGGATAATACTTACGATGTTTTTGACATCCGTCGACATTTTCAGGCCAATCGCACGAGTGAGTGTTTTCGTTGTACAAAAGACCACCGATGCAAAGTTGTTCTGTTGCCGTACCGTTCCAACACGTCCAATATCTCGTGCAAGATGTTTCGTGTCCGAAAATTCCATATAACCAATCGCAATGTTCGGTTCCGATGGGTCCATCTGTAAAAGTCGACATCATTTATTAATAAAATATTCATGCCTATTTTTTTTTTTTTATTATTAATTAATTAACAGTCCGACAAACGAAAACAAACAAACAAACAAGTTTCAAGGACTTACTGGCAAGTTGTTTTCCCTCACAATAATTAGCTCTCCATGGATAGTCGCATCCTTCTGTAACTCCTCTATGTTTTCCCGCAAATACGAGACCGTTAGGACAATCGTAGAGTTCCGGTTGACCTCCTATACATTCCCAATACCTGGAATTTGTCATAAGTGCATAATTTACCGATAATAATAATAATAATAATTTTCTCAGAATGCGGTAGTAAAAATATATACCTATCGCAATATGTGGCGTCACCAGCTAATTTTGATTTGACTTGACATGGATCTTCTTGCTGTTGTTTGACATTTTGAGATAAAACTCCGCCTAAAAACATTCGCATTTGTGTAATTTTTCAAAAAAGTAGCCATTTTTGTTTATATAAAAAAAAACTTTTCGAAGAAAAACATTTTTTTTTTTTTTATATTGCTTAAAACACACACCCAGATAAAAAAAATTTGTTTTTCTCGAGGCTAAAAAAAAAAAAATGTTTCTAAATCTTTACACACATACACATATCGAATCGTACCTAAAATACCTCGTACGAAAAGAAGAGAGGAGGAGAAGAAGGAGGATTATGTCATTTAAATTAAAAAATTAAAACCCTTGTAATAATCAAACGCTTTCGACGATAACTACTTGTCACACATTGTGTTAATCACTTTCTCTTTTTTTTTTTTTTTTTTTATTCGTAGACGCCATCATCACCATCACCACAACTGCATCATCATCATCATCATCATTTTTCGAGATGGGTCTGTCTGTGTCAAAAGGCACACCTGTTTTATAAAAAACCTGATGTGTCGTAGTAGACTCTGAGTTATGTAATTCCTCGCAATAACATTAAAACTCTTCCTTATTTTATGTAATTTTTTTTTTTTTTTTTTAAATCGAGTGCTTATGTTTTAGACCTTTAAATATGTCAATAGACGTTAAATGATGACTGAATGAACTTTTTTTTTTTTCTCATCATTTAATTGTGTAATTGATTAGAGAGTATAAAAGTATTTTATTTTTTATATAAATACATCTTTTGCCTCGTGATGGTGATGGTGATGATGATGATGGTGGTGGTAATGATGATTATGGTGGTGATGGTGGTGTTGGTTAAATCATAACGAATAACTTTTTTTTTTTTTTTTTTTCTAAACTTTATTGATTTATTGAATTTTTTTTAACCTGAGGCTCCCCTCACAACATTAATTAACTATTAAAAATTCTTATGGAGCAATTCGTTTTTTCCCAAGAGAAAAAATGGCGACGCTTTTGGTTTTTTTTTTAAAGTTGTTATGAAAAGAAGAGTCTCTGAGCTTGTTTGTTTGTTTATAGAATGATTTGTATACGGAAAAGAAATTTTTTTGTTTTGTCACTCGTGAGTTATATAGCTTAGACATTTTAGGAAAATTATTTTTGTGTAGTAAACTTTTCCTATCCGGATTATTACGCGTCTCATACACATTCTGAGGGGCGGAAATTATTCCAAACGCGTAAACAAACACTTGATTGCATTCATCGACGATATCCTTCTATAAATACATATGAAACCTGTTACTGTAGATATGAATATATGAATAGAATAATTTATTATACGTGTGTGTGTGTGTGCGTGTGCGTGCGTACGTGTGCCGATGGGTAATTCGTGTCATGCATATTATTGATGCAATCGGTTTTGTTTTTCCAGGTTAACGAACGCCTCAAAAAAATTACAAATGAAAATTTTACGTATATGTCCGTACGTTTGTTTTTCTATCTTTCTTTCTTTCTTTCACTCCTCTACTTATTATTATTATTATTATTTTTTGTTTAATATGGCGAGAAAAAACGTTTTTTTTATTACGGTAATAATTATTTGCAAAAATTTACATAGTCAGGTAATTTTTTCTAATATTATTAGCCTTGAAAAAATTAAAAAATTGCACAAAAAAAAAAAAAAGTACTCGTGGAAAATTTACTCGCGACGTTATGTTCAGACTTTTAATTTCCGGTCTAGTTTATCACGATTTAATAATAAATAAAATAAATTATTAATTTTTTCTTTTTTTTCCTGGCTAACCCTCATTCTTTTGAAAAAAAAAAAAAAAATTCTAAACGCGGACGTGGAATTAGAATAAATGAATAAAAGAAAACGTTTAATTAATTACGACTGCTTACGACCGCCATTTTGTTTATTGAATATTTCTTTTTTTGTTTTTCCGTGACTCGAAATCGTAACAAAAAAATTGTTTGGCCTCAATAATAAGAAAAAAATTTCTTTCTAGACCTTTTCCATTCGTTTATTATTATTATTATTAGGATTTCAAGTCAGGGAAAATTATTTTCTCACATGAATAAAAGTTCGAATATCTCACGATTTATTTTATGTTCACGAACAAACAACAGAACAACCTTCTTTAAAAGAAACAAACAAAACACAATCTCGTTTTGTTCGACTTTGTGTTTGTTTGTGACAACCTTGAATTAAATTTGTTTGTTTTTAATTCCAGTATAAAAAAAAAAGAAATCATGGAACGATGAAATAAATTCTGGAAAAAAGATCTTAGAACCATCTCCCAAATATTTCTCCCCGAATTTCTTTAAATTTCCAAATAAATTATTATTATTATCACTAATTTAACGTTTTTTGATTAACGATCTCGAAGGAGGGAAAATAACCGTGACTGAATTTTAACCACATGGTTAACCAGTTATTTTTTTAAAAATCCGTTAACGAGACCTCTCCCCCTCCCTTTTTTTTACATTTGTTTAAATAAGCCGACCGATATTTTATAATCAGGTTCAATATTAATTTTCCAGTAATACGTCATCACCAAAAAAAAATTATTCGTGACGCCCGTATTAATAATTCATATGTTTTTTCGTTCAATTAATTATGTGTAACGTTTGTTGTTGTTGTTGTTGTTGTTTTCGCTTTCTACGAGCAAACAACAAACCGGAAGATTCGTTCGAAAGTGAATTTTAAATAAAATTCATTGTCTTTTCGTCCTTTTGTTAAACAATCGATTATAATTTTTAAAAAAAACAAACGTGAAGGAAATAGTTGAGGTAAAAAGGTGGGAAAAAAACGAAAAAGGAAATCATTTCTTTTTAAATAATAAACGCATTGTCACATACTCCCCCCCCTCCCTGCCGCCGCCGACACCCCATTCGGTGAAATTTAAATTCTTAGTATCATTATCATTATAAAAAATAATTATTATTCATTGTTTTATTACGACGACGACGACGATTAAAAGTTTTTAAACAAAACGTGAGCATAAAAACAATGGCGGCAACTACCAAAAAAAAAATTTAACTAACTAGACTTATACGATTATTATTACTATTATTGTTATGCAACAGTACGTTTTAAAATTTTTTTTTTTTTTTAGAAAAAAGAAAGTGCAACGAGTCGATTTAAACATTTTCATAATAAAACACACATTTTATTATAAAATATATTTATATATATAAAATATTCGATTTTTAAATTGAAAGATTTTTACGTAATTTTTCGCAAATTTCTTCTTTTTTCTCACACTCACAAATATTCGAAATAAGAAATACGATAATAATAATAATAATAATAATAATAATAATAATAATTTTAAAAAATAAAAAATAAAAAAATTATTATTTAATCGTAAAAAAAAAAAAAAAATGTAAAATCATCGAGTTGTGTAACGATAATCAATTTATTCATTTAAAAAAAATAAAAAAAAAATGTCAGGGATGAACTTTTCATTTATTTATTTATTTATTATTTTTTGTTGAAATTTAAAAGTTCAAAATTTATATAATAAATTTTTTTAAAATAAAAATATTTCGTACGCCAAATAAAATAAATAAATAAATAAAAAAATATAGATACGAAACGTGTGAAATGTTGGAAAAAAAAAAAAAAAAAACGAGAATCATTTAAAATAATTTTTTTTTTCGCGTTTCACTTGAATCCCCTTCTCCCCCTTTCCCCTCCCCCTTTCCCCTCCCCCTTTCCCCTACAATGTAAACCCACTTTCTCTCTTAAATGACAATTATAACGAATGTCAATGTTTTTTTACTCTCACACACAACCAAAAATTTTCTTTTTTTTTTTTTTTATTTATTTAATAAATTATAAAAAATCCCTCTTCTTATTTATAATGTCAATGCAATAAATTAAAAGGCTAATTAACGAACGGGGGGTGGGGCGGGGGAGATCCTTGAAAAAAAAAATCCTGTAAATTTATTCGTCATCATCATCATCATCATCATCATCAACACACACCTGTATCCCGATTTTTTTTTTTTTCTTAATATTTTTTTGTATAATTTCTTCGAATTTTTTTTTTAGAAAAAAAAATCTTTTCACTTTTTCTCTCTCTCTCTCTCTCTCTCTCAAGGACGACTTATGAAAATAATGATGACCGGTTGTTAAAAATTATTAACTAATTATTTATGTATTATTACGCATTCGTTTTCTAAATGAGAAAAAAAGAAGGTAAAAAAAAAAAAAAAAAATGATCGTTACAATCTCGAAAGAAGGCCTTAATAATAATAATAATAATTTATTACCGAGTGTGACTTTCGTTTTATTAAAAAAATAATAATAATAATAATAATAATAATTTTTATACGTTTTGATTCGTTGGATTAAAAAACGCGTTATTTATTTATTTATAAATAAATAAAATTTAAAAGAAATCAGAGTGGTGATAATAATAATAATATAGAATGTGAAAGTTTTTTTCTCTCTCTCTCTCTCTCTCTCTCTCTCTCTCTCTCTCTCTCTTTTTAATAATGACACATGAAATAAAAAAAAAAAAACCGTTATAAACAAAAAGAGAAAGAAAGTAAACCGTGACCCATCACTAACCCCCCTAGTTAGTTAGTACCCTATCTAAACATAAAAAACATTTGCTAACCTTCAAACATTCAACATTTAAAAAAAACTAAAACCATTGTAAAAAACCTCACGTATAAAATACATATTAATAATAATAATAATAATAATAATAATAATAATAATAATAATAATAAAATTTTTTTTAAGGGTTGACCATGAAATTATAGTTTTCTAACAGAAAATAAAAAAAAAAACTTCCTAATTAACCATTAACATACAAATCGAGTTTTCCTTCTTTTCATAAAACTCTCGAAAATTTCTCGTTTCATTTCCTGTCTGTTTCTCTAAATAATAATAATAATAATAATAATAATAATAATAATAATAATAATAATAATAATAATAATAATAGAAAACTTTTTTTAAAAAACGTTTATCGATCGATTTGTAATAATTAAATTCCTAAGGGTAAACTAGTTAAGAAATGATAATGAAAAAAACAAAAAAGTTATGATAAGGAGGAGATTAATAGAGAA